GTGACTTTTGCGTGACATCGGTGTACGGCAGTGTCGAGATCAAGATCCCTACTCCGAGTCAAATACGCCGGTGATCTTTGAGCTTTGCCCTCTTCCCCCCATTCGAGGAGTATAATCATTTATACTCTCGCGTCTGAAACTTGTTTTCGTAATTAATTATTAATTAAATTTATAATAATATATTATCTTAGTATTATGTTAGCCTTTTTTTCAACAACGTTATTTCAAAATATATTTTTATCTTCTACTGTAATTTTCTACTTTGTTCTAGATTTTTATATTAGCATCACATTACTTTTAATGTCATTATTTTCTCTTATTTTCTATGCCTGCGCACAAATTGAGTTGTATTAAATATATTTATTCAAAATTGTGTTATAATTAATGCTTATATACCTGATATGGCGTTTAATTAACAAAGAAGCCAGTATAATCTAGAATAACAAATATGTAGATAGTAACAAATAAGATAGCAGTAATAAATTTGCGAAGAGTGAATCAGTGACAATAACTCAGTTAATCAGATTTATTTTTATTACAAGTAATCATTACAATATATATCACTGATTAAGAATACGTTTTACAGCGAATAGTATCACAACACGAAATATACAGAGAAAGTGCGGACGAGCGTTCATTTACAGCGCCGAGAAAGAAATCAATCTCACTCACACCTTTATGAACCAAATTACTTTCATTAATCGATATTATGCTAGCGACGGCGACATAAAACATCATGGACATTCCTGTAATGGCCATAATAGCAGAGCGCAAATCATCTGATACATTGGACGTGACAGCGGAGCTAATAAGTTGTGTATCTTCTGGAAAAAAAGGATAATGAAATCAAAATGATAGATTTCGATGCCTTAATGATGCGTTATATCTGATTAAAAGCGTGAAACGTACCGCTCAATCTCCCGACTAGTTCTCCCGTACTTTCTCTGTCAAACATTGCCGTTTCCTGTTGAAGGATAGCGGCGTACGCCTGTTTCCTAAGGGACTGCGTGATTTTGTGTTCCGCCGTCGACATTAGACAAACTCTGCCAAAGTTGCTCACACCGCCTATGAGAAATATCACAAAGAGAGCAAGCGGGGGCGGCCAGCAAAAGTAAAGTCTTCAATTCCGAGCGTCTCTTCGCCTTAACCGCATGTACTACGGGCATAGATGCGTCGGACCGGATAGCGTTGGTCGTATAGTGTCTCAGTCCGATGAACACGCGGCCCTTCCTCGAGAATCTGACAATCCTGCTTGTGTCGGCCTTCGATTCGGGTTAACCTAAACACAAAACAGTGTCACTCAGGATTTCATTGGAACATCATCGTGACTACGCATATGTACGATCGAATAGCTTTGCGGGAAACTGTCCAAATTCTCCTGAGTATTCTGTTGTGTATGATGTGTTGTATTAGATCGCAATAATTCCTAATTGCACGCACCTCGTATGTAAATACTCCGTTTCTTCTCTTTTCTCTACTGCTCTAGTGCCACTAGTGCACTTTCTACACTCAATATGGCACCTGAACCTAAGAAGGAGGGCTCGACCCACACGTACGTTACGATGGAACTGTGTGAGTGTGCGATCCGCTTAAACAATGTTCAAAAGATTGTTAAGCGTATCAAAAACGGCGGATCTTCTGTGATTGGTCGCAGAGTCGATACGCCCGATACGCGCGTATCTCGATACGCGCCATGGGACGGCACCCTTAGAGAGTAAGTTTTTTTACCAAAAGTACAAAACTAAAG